AATTTAGAAATTGTCTTTATTTTGCAAAGATATAAATATATCAATAAAATTTTATTTTAAAATTTTTAAAGAAATTTTATATGTTCGTTATTTCTTAAGTAGAATTTTTGAAATAAGAATAGAGAATGTGCTCATGATATAAAATAAAAATGAATATTGAGTAAATAAAACGAGTGAATGCTTGCATCCTAGCGTAAAGGCGCGAAACCAACCGCGAAATTTTGCGGTGTGATGTGTCCTCCGCTGTCAAAATACGATATTGAATAAAGTTGACGGGTGCAGCTCCAAGACTGGTCGAATAAAAGACCGAATCTTGAAGTGCCAGGCCCATACGGAATTGCCTTCAAACGAGATCTGTCACCGGAGGAGGGGACCAAGAAGGGGGGGATGGTTCTGGGTCAGAAACCTAACACCTTTCGAATATGAAATCCGGTACGAATATAACGAGATCCTCCCGTGGTGAGGTTTTTAAAAGTAGAGACCCGAGGCAGACAGGCGAAATATTGGTAGAGAAAGAGGGAGAAAGAGAGGGAAATGCAGATGGTGGCGCAGGTCGGAGGAACAGGAAATATTGGATTCACGCGACGCCTACTCACAATGCAGTCCGCACGATTTTCAGTCGATTCCCGTTTCATGCCGTCGCGTCTCATACATCAATAGCGTGAACGATAGGATGCCGTGGATAGAATATTGAGAATGGATCTATTATCGAATGTAACGAGATTATAAAAGAATTTACTTATAGACTAATATTCGTAGTCAAGTCTTATTTTAAGAACATCTTAAAAATAATATTTTAAGATGCTAATACAGCTCTTTAATTGATTCATGATCACATCTTAAGGCTGTACTTAAACTAGTCTTAAATATTAGACTCGATTAAATGAATATTGCAGGCCATAATAAGAAAGAAATACTGTTTTATTTCTCTCTTATTATAAGACGGTGATCGTGATATTGAGAGTTGCATGGCTGCTGTCTGTGCCAAAAATCCATCTACATCAAATTTTGATTTGATCATCTCTCAAAAGACAAATCATCAAGTATCTTTGTCATGACAATTTCTTCTGCTATGGCAGTTCGGATTCGGCGTTGAAAATTATCTCATTTAATCAATAGACACACACATCAATAGACATACAGAAGAGGTCATCACATCTCTGACAAGAGATAACGGACTGAGAAGAAGAAAAAAAAGACTATCAGTAAGACGAGACTGTTAGAAAGAATTATTATGTCGTTTTTTGAAATGTATCTATTATTTTGTCTTTGTTTTTTACTTTGTAATAGATTGAAGTATCATTTCACAGGAATGTCTATTTTATTTGCGACGTCGATTCTGTCACAGGGGTGGTTCGCAATTGCATCCATCACGTGACGGAAAGGATGATAAATCTCGATATTCCGAATCTGAAAGTCGAAGTCGCTGCAGACGTATGTTCAGCGTGCAACGAGCGCA